GCTGCTGGTTATAAGGAACAGTCCGGGTTACCCCTGGAGAGTGTCTCTTTTCTTCCCATTCATTTAATAAAAACAATAGCCAAGGAGACCTTCAAGACACAGGTGAGGTGTACGTACACCCGAGTCTTGCTAAGGGCCCCACGGCGGGGGGAGCAGCTGCTGCTGCTGTACCGCCTCCTCTCTTATGTATAAAGAGGCGTCCTGCCTTCTTTTTTATCTTTATTATGCATAATATAACAACAAAATAACTCTTTTAATTCCTTATAAACAAGAAAGTACTACTTGCATGCACACAAGGGACCCATTAAGCCCCTTTACCTCCCCACAACCCCTAAGGCTGCTCATGTACCAAGGGGGCCTCCCAGCAGCAGCAGGGGGCCCCCCTCCAGGTCACTTCGCTGCTACTGCTGCTGCTCTCTTTGCTGCTGCTGGTTAGCGGATAGATATCTTCTCGTCTTTATTTTAATAGAGGAAATTTCTTCCTATTTTTCTCCTTGTCTTTAGGCTGCGTGTGCTGCAACAAGCGCAGCAGCAGCAGCACCGACCGCAGCAGCAGGAGCAGCAACCGGAGGTGGACCAGCAACGGGACAGCACACACAGCAGCAAACAGCAGCAGCGCAGTTGCAGAGAATATAAATGTGTTGCTGCACATTTATATTCTCCTGTCCTGTGTTTTGCCGCCACCAGCTACTGCTCTCTGCTGCTGCTGCTAGGGGAGGAGATGCAGCATCCTCAACTGCAGCAAATCCCTCCTAGGGTCTTTGCATGCATCTGCAGGCTGCAGTCTCCTCCTTGCTGCATAGCTGAGGTGTGTCTGCTGCCGTGTGAGGTCGTCTGTGCGACACTGCATACGGGCCCAGCAGCAACAGCAGCAGCAACAGAAGCAGCAGCAGATACAGCACCAACAACGGAAACGGCAGCTGCACCAGAAACAGCAGCAGCAACAGCAGAAACAGGAGCGGCATCAGAGGCAGCAGCATCACCAGACACAGCAACTGCAGCAGCAGAAGATGCAACAACAACAGCAGAAGAAGCAGCAGCAGATGGGCAGCTAGCTGCAGCTCAGCTGCTGCAAGATCGGGGTGCCCATTACGGTTTGCTGCTAAGCAGCATCGATTCCTCTGACGGTTCTGCTGCTGCTGCTGCTGCTGCCGATTTGCCGCTGCAGCAATATGCATTGGGGCTTTGTCCTTGCGTGCTGAAGGGGCTGCATGCAGCAGCACAGCAGGCCATCCGAGCCCCTCGTCGCTGCCACTCTGCTGCTGCTGCTGGATCTACAGTAGCACCTACTTCAGCAGCTGCAGCAGGAACGTCAGGAGCAGCAGCTGCTGCTGCTGCTACCGCCACTGAGGCTTGTGGATCTGATGAGTGCTGCAGTTGTCTGCATGCACTTGGGGCTTTGCGTATTCTTTTTTTTATAACAGGAGATACACAAATAAATAATGAGGAAATAATAAGAAGAATATTTACTATAGGTAAATTAAGACAAGGAACACCTCTTCCCCTACCCGCAGCAGCAGCAGCAGCAGCAGCAGCAGCATCAGCTACCCCAACACCACATATACCCACGGAGAACGGTACAAAGCATCAAGGGAATGGTGCTCCTCCAGCAGGTGCCACTACAACACCAGCAGCAGCACCTGCTGATGCTGCTGGTGCTGCTGCAGCAGCTGCTGCTGTTGGCCGCCTGCTTGAAGAGTTGAGGGCATCGAGGCTGCCGCTCTTTATGTACCCCAAAGCTGGCGAGATTTGGGCCCTTAGACGCCAGCAGCTTAGGCTGTGCATGCAGCGCTACCTGCAGCAGCAGCAACAGCAGCAACAGCAGCAGCAACAGCAGCAGCAACAGCAAGTGGGGTTTCAGACACCCCATTCTGCTGCAGCTGCAGCACCAGCTGCAGCAGCTGAGATATTGCTGCAGCAAGAAATGAGTTTGCTGAAGAAGGAGGCTGTGCATAGCATAGATTGGCACAGACCCCAGGAGGGACAGCAGCAGCAGCAGCACCAGCAGCAGGAATTCTTGTTGCTGCTGCTGCGGTCCGAGCTGTGTCTGGTACAGTGGCACTTAAAGGCCCGCAGCCACACATACGCAGCAGCAGAGCATGCACATCGTGTGCTGCAGCTATTTGCTGCAGATATATCAAAGTTTGCTGCTGCTGCTGCTGCTGCTGCAGCTGCTCTTCCTCCAGAGTCCTGCAGCAACGGCAACAGCAGCAGCATCAGCAGCGTGGCTGCAGTGCCCGTTGAAGCATGCAGGGAGCAGCAGCAGCAGCAGCGGCAGCAGCAGGTATTGTCTTTGCATGCACTGCAGCAAGCTGTAGAGACAGAAGAGAGACACTTTTGGCTGTATATGACGCAGACACATCCTTATCATTTTGCTGGAGGTCATCAGCTGCTGCGTCTCCTGTCTCTTGATCTGCAGCAGTTGCTGCAGCAGCAGCTGCAGCAACTGAAGCAGCAGCAGCAGCAGCTGGTGCAGCAGCAAGTTGCTGCTGCAGCAACGCTGCAACCGTCCTGGGTGATTGAGCAGCTGCAGCCAACAGGCCCTGCTGCTGCACGAGCTGCATATACAGCCGAGGAGGCGCGCAGCATTTTGTCTCTCTTTCCTGCTGCAGAGGCTGCTTGGCGTACCTGCACTTATTCATTTGTTAGTCTCTATAGATGGGCAGCAGCAGCAGCGAAGCACTGTTGGCAGCAGCAGCTGCAGCAGCAGCAGCCGCAGCAGCCGCAGCAGCAACAGCAGCAGGAGGAAGATAAACAGCAGCAACAGCAGCAATGGAGACAAATATTGGATATGCTCCTTCCCCCTTTGCTGAATATTTTGCATGCAGAGGAGACATGGGCAACAAAAGTGTCTCCTTGTCTCTTCTTAGATCGTCATTTAGAGACACTTAAGGAAGAATTAGATCTATTTATACATACACAGTTACCTATACACCACAATTAAATTATATATATATATATATA